GAGAATCGATATTTGCGCCACTCAGTGTTAGGACTTTCGTTTCATAATGGAATAATGCCATATTTATATCCCAATCTTATGGGCTCTCAAGCCATAAACCGTGATTATTTCACTGAAAAACCGGTCAAACGTTGACAACCTTGGGGCCATTGTAACACGGTGCTGGAAAAGGGAATATAATGAGGAGGAGGAGGGAAAAAAGGAGGCCAGCGGCTTGCCTAATTAAATCTTAACTGATTGAAATGAAGGTTTGAGTACCTCAAGGCTTGACTAAACTTCGGCTATTTCCCTTTTTATTGCGCCTTATTTATTCTGCACTAACATGCCGTCTTTTCTGCCTCTCCAGCAGCCTCAGCACTGGCCATTGCAATTTTCAGTTTCTGCTAATTCCAACCCCCCATAGCTATGTTATTTGACTATTTATAACATTCGCATCATTAAGATTTCCTTTTTGCAGGGTGAGTGTGCATTGGAGAGGGGTTGTGTATGTGTGTTGAGGGGGGTGGCAGTCACTCTTTTTTAAGAAGACAAGTATCATTGAAGTGTGAAAAAAATCGCCTCTTATTCCTGTAGCGGGCAAGCAAACAATCGTGAATATCACCCGGAGAGTTGAAGATTTTTTTAAGGTGGTCCTCATAAAAATATAAGCCATGATGCTCTTTTTTTATTTGCATTTTTTTTTGCAGCAAAAAATATATTTATATAAAATGCTATGTTTAATTTCAATATTCCAGAGATTTTTATTTATTATTTATTTATTTATTTTTATTTAAGACAAAAATCCAAATTTTCTATTGATCAAAAATGCCGTCGAGTAAATATCGCAGAAGGCCAGTGAGGAGTCATCAGTGGCACTATCTGCGGGCGCGTTTCTTCCCCTATTGTCTGAGGAAATAGTATCATAAATGATAAATAGATAATGGAGCTGTCTCCTGCAGACACGTTCATCAGCGGTAAATGGGAGCTGGCGCAGAGCACCACGGAGAATTAAGGCGAAAGAGTTTGCAACATTCCTGCAGGGGATAAGTTGTTGACAATTAAAGAACACACACATATACACACACACACGAGGAGAGAGAGAAGGAGAGAGAAAGAGTGGTGGGGCGGAGAGATGGGGACGGGGAAAGAGGTCAGAAATGCATTTACTGGTTGTCTTTGTTGGTTATTTCTGTTTGGTTCCGTGTGCTAATTTTTTTCTCTTTTGTTTGCTTTTCATTTGAAGACTTTCTCCTCAAGGCCGGCTTGACTTTTACGCCATATCAGGTGTTGCTGCCATTTGAGCGCGTGTTTTGCTTATCCAACACCCAGACAAAATGCATTACACGAAAAGGGAGGTGTATGTGAAATCACAGCTCAGGTAGATGGGAGCATTTGGTTCTTAACGCAGCCTGACTTTTGATTAATCGCGTAAGATATGAATGCATGCGTCTTTATGCGCCATTCCCCTGCTAGTTGGCTTGAAAATTGAGTGGTTTCTACATGGTGAGCTATTTCCTGGTGTGCAAATTCGTGTATTTTTTTTTAAATTTATTTTATGCCAAAAGGAAATGCTTCACGTATAGGAAAATAAAATGTGAAAGTATATCACATCTCAGTACTGAGAAAAAGGGGGCAATACGCATTAGAAGTTAAAAACACAATGTGAACTCGACGGATAGATGAAGTTTAGACTCACACCGTTGCCTTTGCTGAGTTTGGATTGCAAAAAACAACCAAGTCTTCTTTTAAAAAAAAGGGGGGAAAAAAAGCCACTGCCGTGAGACTGGGTTGTCCAGAAAGCCTTTTCGGTGGTGCTATAATAAACCATTTTCCCTGGGCTTTATTGATCAGTCACTCTGAGCTAATGTAATTATCCTCATCAATAGGGGGACTGCAGGGAGAATCATTATGCGGTTGACATTGATAAATGATCAGCCAAATGCGGTCCTTTTCTCCCAGGGACCCCCGCCTCTGACCCGCCTCGCACAGGCCTACATAACGTAGTCATAGAAACACCTTATGGCAAGAGGAGAGAAAACTGCTGAAATGTTAAAAAAAAGGAAGAAAAGGAGGGCAACACACAGACACACACATGCGTACACACACAGAAAACTGAAACTTAAAAAAACAAAACAAAAAAAAAAAACTGTCCCTGTCCCCCAGAGCAAGCCATTTTGGGGAGAGCCAGCTGCACAGCGAAGGACACTCAGTCCCTGCGTAAGCGTTCATTTTTACGACCACTATCCAAATCAGCAATTTGAAAGAACAACAAAGAAGAAGCAAAACTTTTCTAACGCGCTCCCCCCCGTCGCTGCCAGCAGATCCACTTGTGTATCTAAAAATATATATTTGCAGTCGTCTCTCTTAGATCATAAACCCCACTTTACCAGATGCTCTGCAGGAAGCGCGCACGCACACATATACAAACACACACACACACACGCACACGCAAACATATCCAATAACATGAGTATTATTAACATGTTGCCTCTGTAACGCACTCAGTGTTTCTAGCGGGTGAACTGGGTGTGTGGACTTTTAATATTGTTGCACGGGAGGAGAGTGTCTTCCAGAGGAACGGGCTGCATTGTGCAGCAGTGCAGAGGGAATATATTCCTTATTTTATTCCTGCAGCAGCGGCCCGGACTGGCTTTGACAGGGAGGAGATGAAGGGGTGGAGTTGTTTAGCTCGGCTGGATCATCCATCATCCCTGTCACACCGAATCGGCAAAAGGAAAGCAGCAGAGGCAATCTACCTTCTGTCTCATCGGGGAAGAGGGGAGGGAGGAGGAGGAGGAG